TCTGTTTTTTTTTTAAATTCCCCAATATTATTGTGGCACTGGTGGTGTTCCATTCATGCAAGCGGTGCTAGAAAATCTAGCATATATCAGATACCTGGTTTTAGTCAATGTGGTGTTAAACTCTTTTTAGAGCATATTGAAGTAACACAGTGGTTAGAACACCAGTGATGGTTGGGACATGGCATGTACTGGAGTACCTATTACTATATATATTAGTGAGGCTGCACTAGCAGTAGCAACAGTGGGAAATTGTGTGCGGTGAGTGTGTGCGTATGCATGCATGCGTGCGCATTCATAAAATTCCTTATATACTGTATTCCACTACAGGAACTGCTGGCAGAGTTTGATGCAGAAATGAAAAAGCGAGAACTTGAGTTTCAACAGCAGGAAGATGAGATGAGTAATTTAGTTTTGTCTCATAAACTCAAGGTAATTCTCATTAAGCTTCTTTTTTTTTAACCTAAAAAGGGCACATTTTATTACTTTAATCCCAAGTTTTATTTATTCTGTAAATGCATAGAAAAGTTATATACTTCCTTGCTTCACCAGTAGATTGAGGGCATTGTTCCAGGACAGTAGAAGATAGAGATATTTGAAAGGTGAATTTTAAATTTTGCTCATGGTTATCACCAGTGAGAAAATGTATATATGGGTCTGTAGAGGCCTTGTCACATTCTCACAAGATTAGCCAAGAAATGTACAGAAAGCATAGGTTCTGCACAGAAAGGTCAGTTCAACGTAATTTGAATAAGATGTTTTTGTTACTAATATCAGTTTATTTTAATAAGTTGTTGTTTTTTTTTAAAAGGGCTGATGAAGTTTGTACCACTTAAAGCTAGTTAAAGTATATGTTGACACTTTTGCAATAAATAATGTGACAGAAGGTTGCCTAGAGGCCAGTCGCTACTTTGGTCCGCCCACCTGTCTAGTCAGGCCACCCACCTGACTATCCTGCCACACCTTTGTTGTATTTAAATAGTTGTTTGTAGGCGGGAGACTGCCCATTTAATTCCCTAATGCCAAGGGCATAATACATGGCTCCAACCTTTCCTTTACTATGTCCCATGCCTTGCAGATGGCATCCAAAAGTGACTTCCAACTGTCCTGGCCCCATTGCTGGGTTGCACTCAGCCTCTGGCTCAAGCTTGGCATCAGGTGTCCTTAGACATGCCTAGACCACATGCCCCCTCACTGGGGCCTCTGCTCCGGCCGGCCTACACATAGTCCTGAAGGCCCCTTTGGACCCTGCTCTACGCAGCCTCCAGCAGCCCTCAACTCTGCCCCCTCGCTAGGGCCTCTGCTCCTGCTGACCTACGCATAGACCTTCAGGTTCCCTTGAGCCTTACTCTACGCGGCCTCCATCAGCCCCCTCGCCCCCTCACTGGGGCTGCTGGGCCTTCTGCCCCATAGGCCTCCGGTCCCTCTAAGTGGACCTGGACCCTGTCTCAGGCCCCACTCAGTGGGCCTGGAACACAAGTCAGGCCCCATTCAGTGGACCTGGGCCCCTGTGCTTTTCTGTTGGGGCATGCTCCCCTAGCCTTTCACCTCTCTGGGATATCGCAAGGCAACGGGGGCTGAGGCTTTATGGTGTCCCATCCTCACCTTTCACTGGGAAGGCACAGGTGTGGCATTTCCTGGAGACTGCCCCACCACACCATCCTATCGCAGCAGGTTGTAGTTTTAGGTCATGCCCCAGGACCAGGAATGTCCTCCATCCCCATAGTTCCTATCTTGAACCTCCAGGTGTTCTTGGAGCAGCAGTACACTACTGCAGCCGGAAGATGTTCACTCTTTAGCTTCCCAGTTGCAACTCCTGGCCCTGCTCCATAGACCTGGTTTTATACTCAAGCAGCCAAGCCCTCTTCCAATCAGGCAGCCTTCTAGTTGCCATGTGTCTCCCCCTGATTGGCTATGTTATTGACTGCAGGCTGCTCTGCCGCCTGCTCAAGCCCTTGCACGTAGTGACAAAGACTTTATTGGTGTATGTGTTGTTGTGACCACCCCTGAGGCAGGGATTGCAAACTCTTCTCCAAGTGAGTTAGTCCCTAAGGGCATCTATACACATGCCCGGGGGGGCAGGGAGCACTTTAATTAGAGTGGCTCCGAGAGCTGATCTAATTAAACCGCCCACAGTGCTATGTATATTCAGCGTCCTGTATTTCAAAATGACAGTAGGGGCATTTTAACTAACCAACGCTCATTGAATGAGCTTTAAAGTGCCCCCACCACCATATTGAAATGCAGGGCCAATGAATACATGCGATGCAGAGACTGCTGGAGTGCACTAATTAGCACACTCCAGCAGACTTGATTAATCGATTCTGCTCTGAGGTGTGTCAGTTGGCACTCCAGCGGTCAATTTCTAGAGACTATTTTCTAGTTTTAAGGTTTGTTCTCTTTCTTTGAAAGGTTAAGTTATTGAGCAGAGAACTGGAGGCTTTGAAAGATGCTGGGATGAAAGCTGCAGAATCATTGCAAATGGCAGAAAGGACTAATCTGAGATTGGAAAAAGAGCTCAAATGCAAGGACTGGGAATTTAAGGATCTTGCAACTGTAAAAGATGCTCGGTATTGTACAGCTCCAGTTATAAACTAGGGAAATTGCTTCGCAGCTTGCTATTTACTCTTTTCCTTTCCGTACTTCTTCCATATTTTAGGGACAGAACTACTACTTTTTATTTTATTTCTTTTCAAATGATTGCTGTTTTAGAATAAAAGAATTAGAAGGTGAACTTCAGTCAATGAACCTGATGTGGAAAAAAGAGAAGGAAACATTTAGAAGAAAGTAAGTATTGTTTATGTATGACACTGAGAATAACAGTGTTTTTTATGTTCTTTTAAAGTAGAATTTTTCACTCTGGGACAAGGTGCTGGTTTTGACCTACAAGGCCCTAAACCCGTGATTCTCAACCAGGGTGACTTGAGATCCTCTTAAGGGTTCCATGGAGTGCCACACAATATTAGCAATGTTAGGTGTGCAACGAGCATTCATAAGATGAACCCCAAGATTTCAAATAGGAATCCATATTGTCAAAAACGTTATGAGCTGATGTGATCTTTCCGAGTCCTACACAACAGAAAAGTTGTTTTATTATTTTTCTGTAATAAAACAATGAGTGACAACTAAGATCTGGCATTTTCCAAAGAGTGTCTTAAGTCTGTGGAAGTTGAGAACCACTGGCCTAAGTAGTCTGGGCCCTACCACCGCTTTCTTTATGCCCTGTCTTAACCCTTAATGTTAGTCGAGGTACCTCCTGCAAGTACCATCTTTGACCCAAGTTTACCTGGCAGAAACACGTGGGAGATCATTCTCCCCTGTCACCCCACAGCTTTGGAACTCTCTCTCCCTTGAGGCCCACCTGAGCCTGTTGTCAATAGGGCTACTTTGCATGGAGGAAGTTAAGCAACAGTTTAAGTGCTGTGCTGAGTTGGAGCCAGTCTCATTACAATTGTATATCACAGAGCTCTCTTCTTTTGTCATTTTAGTCTGTACTGATTTATTCCTTTGAACAGCAGTATTTCCGGTGGGGAAAAAGTTAACTTGTTTTTGCTGCTGGATGAGGTTAAGTCTAATGCTTTTAATTCTTGATCTGGCAGCTTCTATATTTAGTTCTGTAGACTAGCAACAAACTGGTCATGTCTACACGTTGCCCTATGGCGAGGGAGTGACACACTTCATCACCATACGATGCGCTACAGCGATGTAGTGATCACATGTAGCTATATGTCATCACCAGCTACATCCCCATAGCAGCATGCTCCCCACCTATAGGGTGCTGCTACAGCAACGTAGCTGCAAAATCTAAGCACATGCTGCACGCACGCTGCAGTAACAGCCCATACTGTGCTGTGTTTTAGTACTTCCAAAAGAAAGTACTAAAGCACGGCACAGTAACAGCGTTGCTGTTTGGCGACGTGTAAATACGCCCACAGTTGACAGGAATATTTGTTAGTTCTCTTCAACTGCTCTGTGGTGCATATCATTTGGGTAATTGTGCCTCTTCACTTTAAATCTTGATGTCATGGGAAAAACCTAAACAAACAGTAATCTTATTTTGCCTATTTATGTTTTTTAGACATGAAGTTCTGGATCGCTTTGCCAAGGAAAAGGAAGCAGTACTAGCTTCAGTGAAAGAAGCTCATGCTGAGCAAGTACAGAAGTGGGAGAATCATATAAGAGAACTGCAAATAAGCCATGAAAATCTGGAAACAGAATTGCGTAGAAGCAAGTGGAGTCAAGCAGATTGCTTGAGAGAGAAAGATGCTCTTATTGAAAAGTGAGTATGACTTGATTTGTCTTAGACAAATTCAGAACATCAAGGGCAGTGTTGGTGCATCACTATGAATTGGAATAAAAAAGTGTATAGTTGTTCAAGTTAGTTTCTTTAGAACATGGCCAGGTTTACAATTTTTCAAATAGATCCAGTGTTGTATTCTTTCCTGAGGGAAGGTATGAATATCATGAGATGTTGTTCTGTAGAGAGCTTTGTTCAATATAATGTTATATGAAATAAAGCAGGACTCTGGAGAACACACCTAATTGCCTAAAACTATCTAGTCATTGAGGCTGGGCTTTGTTTGTTTTTTTTTTTAAAAAAAGAGAGTGCTTTGCTGAATTGTGTCCATGCACAGAGGGGGCACTGTGTTCAGGACAGAGTATTCTAGTGCTAGGAAACAAGGTTGTTATTTGACCTTCCTGTGTTAAAAGACCATTAAAGATAAAGAGCAAAGCATTCTAGAGAGATACCAAAATAAATGTTACATACACATTTTTTTTTCTTTTGCTGTTTCACATCTTTGTTACAGTACCATCTTATGCTCTTATTTTTGTGGTGTCCCTGCCTTGTTCTGGATGCATGCTGGATAATGCAGAGTGAATTAGGGGAGAGATATAAGAATTCCATTTATCTTTCCCCTTTACATCTTCAAGTTGGCAGAGCCTCACAAAATTTGTACTAGGTTGTTGAAGGAAGTGATTGAAGAAATTTTGGCACCATTAGCAACAATATTTGCAAAGTTGTGGATGCTCCGCAAGGTCCCAGAAGACTAAAGAAGGGCTAACAATGTCTAGCTTTAACAAAGAGAAAAAAGACGACCTGGGGCATTGAAGCCCATCAGCCTGATTTCAATACTTGGGGAAGCTACTAGATCAATTTATAAAATTATCCATTTGTAAGCACCTAGAGGAGGAAGATGTGATCAGCAGGGATCCTGATTTCCAATCATTATAACAGAATAAATTCTAAATACCTATATATTTTGACATTTGACTTTGCATTTTTTATCATGGAAAATCAGAGCTCCCCCTGCCCCCTTTACTTTACCTTTACCTGCCCCCCTACCCCCCTGCTTTGTGGTACTGATCAGCCCTGATATTCTGGTGCCCTGCTCTTGCCCACGCCATTGCTCCTCGCTCCCAAGCCACAGTCCCCCCCAGCCCTGCCAGTCACTCCTGACCCACAGTCGTGTTCTCCTCCCTCCCCCACCCCCACCATGCTGGTCCACCTTACTCCTGACCTGCAGACTTGCAGCCTCCCACCTCCCTGGCCCTGCTGGTGCCCCTCACTCCCAATCTGCAGCCCTCTGTCCCCAACAGGGCCC